CCCAGAGCATCATTACCTGATGATTATCATAATGAGCACCGGAGCGGTAATGGCCTGATAAATGACTGCCACGTTCGTGTGTTTTGTAGGGCATCCATTCAAGCAGCGGCACATCCTCCCTCCTTCCATTCAAGCAGAAATAACAGGCAGCCACACCAGAAAGACGGGGGGCGGCGGGGTGGAAGCAAAGGAAAAAGATTGGGAAGGCAGTGAATCCTGACTCATGCAAGACTCTCCCTTGAGAAGCATCTGCAAAGAGCACAGGTTCGTTTGGCAGACCCACTGAGGACTCAGCTGTCTCGCACAAGAATAGCAGTTCTCAACATGTGGGTCGTGACCTTTCGGTGGGGTGGAAAGACCCTTTTACAGGGGTCACCTAAGACCACCTGAAAACACGGATATTTGCATTATGATTCATAGTAGTAGCAAAACTACAGTATGAAGTAGTAACAAAACAGCTTTACGGTGAGGGGTCACCACAACATGAGGAACTGTATTAAATGGTTGCAGGGTCAGGGAGATTGAGAACCATTGCATAAGAGCCCTGTTTGCCTGTTGGAGGACTGGAAGCCACCTTGTTTTCACTGTCTGAAAGAATTAGCATGATAAGAGAAAAAAAGCAAAAAAGACTTGGAGTAATTGGGACAGCTGTACATGGACACGGAGTCTCTTTATGCTATCTTCCATCCATATTCATGATCTTCATGTTTCACGAATATTTTAGGGAATTCTTTTAAAAAGGGCAAAAAATTAACTTTCTGGCAGCTGATGGCACATAAAATGTGAGTCACAACACCTTCGGGCTGGCAGTAATTAGTGATCAGGAGTTACTCAGCCCAAGTCTTCAAACCTATAGCTTACCGTATCTCAGAAACTAATACACAGGCTTGCTTCACTTCTGGTCTTCCCTGAACATGTAACAAGGTCTAAAGAAAAGACACATGGCAGAGATTTGCTGGAGGAAATAGGTCACTGGAAGCAAACCTTTGAAGGGTATACCTCATGCCTGACCCACCATGAAGTAAACAGTCTCTCCCTCTACACTAAGAGGGTATATACTATACTATACTATACTATACTATACTATACTATACTATACTATACTGTACTATACTATAATGTACTATATTATCTTCCTCCCACTATGAGGGCCTGTCTCTCCATGGGCTTAGTCAGTAGCACCAAGGACTATGGACTGAAGTCACTAAAACCATAAGCCAAAACGTTAACAAATATTTCTTCCCTTAGGCTGCCTACATCAGGAATCTGGTCACATCAGTGAAAAAAAAGCAACTAATACATGGTCTCACTCTTTCCCTATTGTTATAGGCCTAGACTTTAGGCCTGAACAAATCATTCTTTCTCCTTATTCTAAACCTTCCACGGCTCCCCACTGCCTCTCCTAAAGGGCCAGGCTCCTCAAGCTGAATTCCAACTGTGAAGCTATTGTTGTTTTGGCTGCAGGCTTTGGAATTTGTAGCCCAGTGCTATCACCTACCATGGATACATCTTGGCAAATTTCTCAACTTCTTCTAAATGTCTGTTTTCCTCTCTGTGAAACAAGAATAATGTGGTAAGAGATGAACAAGGTAAGGCCCTTGGCACTGTGTCCCACACATAGCAAAGCCAACTAATTTAACCAACTTTATCCATTGTTCTGGGCCAATCTGCCCCTCCTGACTCTTGTAAGAACAGCTTACACCCTTCTGATGAACATCACCCTGGCCTACCTCTGCTAACCCTAAGGCATGTTCCTCCAAAGCACCCTGTTCATTACTTAAAGTTCCAGGCATCCTTCAGAGTCTGACTCAAATGCCACTTTATCCATGAAGGCTCTCAGAGCCCCAGGACAAAATATGAGAGGGCTGCTGAATTTGAATGTCATATGTCAATTTTCTTGTCCTTGAACCGGCCTGGGAGAGTTTCAACTTCCTGCAAACTTGATTTTTATCACAGGCTCTCTCTCCACAGAGCTTCTTGGGGCTGGTTCCATTTTTCCCTCAGAGGATTACTGCTTCTCTAGAGGTGTTCTCCTCCAAATAACCCTTCCTCTTGGAGTTTCAATCCAGTAAGAGTCCCTCTGCTCCTTCTAGCCATAGGTTACTGGCCCATCCTTGATACCTCAGACTTACTTCGTGAATGAACCTCTACTGTTTACTTCATGGTGGGTCAAGCATGAGGTATACCCTTCAAAGGTTTGCTTCCAGTGAGTGGGCCAAAACACTCAACCCTGGTTAGATAAGATAAAACACTTTGCTCTTCTGTACCTATGACCTTCTGGATTTATAACTCCAAAGGAGATTCTCCCAGCCACCACCCTCCAGCAGTTAATGCAGATAGAAGATCCCCAGACGTGATAGGTAATATTGTCAACTTGACATGATCTAGGCTCACCTAAGAGACAAACCTCGGGATGTATCTGTGAGGAAGTTTCTAGGTTGGGTCACGTGAGAGAATGAAGAACTACACTGTATGTAAGTGACACCTTTACTGGGGCTGGAGTTCTGATGAGTCAAATACAGAGAGTGGAGTTAGACAATCTCTCTCTCTCTCTCTCTCTCTCTCTCTCTCTCTCTCTCTCTCTCTCTCTCTCTCTCTCTCTCTCTCTCCTGTCTCTCTGCCTCCTAATGGAAGCTACAATGTGGTCAGTTACCATGCAATCCCCACTATGATGGACTGGACCCTCAAGCCATAAACCAAAATAAGCTCTTCCTGCCACGGGTTGATTTTTCCAGGTGTTTGTCACAGCAAGAGAAAAGTAACTAGCACCCAGAGTCTGAACAGGCCATTCCTCTGGTGCAGCTATATGGGGGACTGTACAAGAAACTGCACAGTATCCGTCTCACTCGAAGCTTCCCTGAAGACAAGTCCTCCCCACTGGGATGTAAATGCACCAAACTTTGTAACTGCATCGTGGAGAGAAATAACAGGCAGGGAGTACAGAGTAGGTAGGAAACATAGGTGGCTACATAGAGACCTGTCCACAGGAAAGAGCTGTGAGACTGAGAGGCAGTGGCCGCATTCTGATCTTACACCTGCCAACAGCTTTGTTTCTCACTGAATGGGGGCATTGTGCCCAAAGCAGTTGTCCTGAAAAGAGAAGTGGCCTCGGAGGGACAATGTGTGCTCCTTGAAGGAGCCTGCTCATAAACACACTGGCTTCTCACCTTGGGGTACCTCCTACCTTGAGCCTGCCCCTTGAGGGTGAAAACCCAAGGGTAAGAGTGAATGTGCCACTCAAGCACATAACTCTAACTCACACCAAGTCTGGGACCAGTAGACTTAGCTATCAGCAAGCCAAGAAAAGATTTTTGCGAGATCTAAGAGTCGAGGAATGGAATGCTTAAGGGCAAAGGCTGACTGTTGCTTTTGCTGGATCCTGTTTCTTTACTCCAATGGCAGGTGCTCAAAAGAAACCATTGGACCTTTTACTGTTTGGTCATCTTGAGAGCCTTCAGTGAGGTTTATCAAGTTAAGGGTCCTGTGAAAATTCTGGGCAAATTTCTGGGGTTGGAGCTTGACTGTGAAACGGTGATGGTGGAGCTCCTGGATTCCACAGGGTACAGGAAACACTGAAAGCTGCAACCCTAGGCACACTCGGTCTCGTGGAATAAACTACCCACTGTTATGTCTACAGCAGAGTCAGTGGCTTCTCCTTTAAGATAACCAAGCACGCTGGGCATTGGTGGTGCATGCCTTTAATCCCAGCACTCAGGAGGCAGAGACAGGTAGATCTCTGAGTTCAAGGCCAGCCTGGTCTACAAGCAAGTTCCAGGACAGCCTCCAAAACAATACAGAGAAACCCTGTCTCAAAAAAACAAAAAAAAAAAGATAACTAAGCAGAAGATGAGTGCTTGAGTCCCATCATCTCCCTATCCCTAGGACAGAAGGGACTTCAGACAGGAGGTATTTATAGGTAAACAGAGCAGCAGCAAGAACAAATGGCAAAACAGAGGGATAAAGATTAGAAGGGGGAAATTTTGAAAAGCAGAGAATCATCCAAGTACCTGCTAGTAATGCCTGTGTTTGGTCGCCACAATGAGGCTTTCTGTCTCCACAGACTACTTTGAGTGTCCAAGGCTTTTCGTGAGTTACAACCAACTCCCATCCCACCCAGTCTGAACAGCTTCCTTTCCTAGTATCTGTACTCTAGCTTATCTCATTTGAATATGTGTGTACAGCGAGTGTGTGCTGACGCTCTCAAAGGCCAGAGGAGAGTGTCAGATCCCTTGAAGCTGAAATTGCAGGCTTTTTGTGAACCACCTCATGCAGGTGCTGGGATCCAAACTCAGATCTTCATGATTGAATCGGAAGCATCACAGAACCAGTTCTCCATCCACCCCCCCATAAATTCATTCTTAGTGCATTGATTTATTGGGGGGTAATGCATGCCACAGGGTGTGTATGGAGGTCAGAGGACAACACCAGAGAGTCTGTTCTTTCTTCTAGTATGTGAGTCCTGAGATTTAACTCACATAGTCAGTCTTGTGAGTTAAGTCTGGCACCTTTTTACCAGACGAGCCTTCTTTCTAGCCAGTCATTTAAATCCATTTTAAAATGGTTATCTATATTCAGTCAAAAAATATCGTTTATGACTCTGCCATTTATGTTTTAAAATGTTCTGCATCTTATTTATTGGCCCATGTATAGTTTTTTTAGTATAGTGTTTCTAATAAATAGTGTTTTTAGAATTTTCCAAGCTATATGTGGGAAATGGTTGATAAAATGCTGACCATTAGATACATTCATGACAGCATAGAAAGTTAGCATGAAATTCTCCACTTTTCTTTTGATGGGCCTGTGGATTTAGGCTCCCACCCCTACCATAGACTAAAATGCTAGCATCATGTAAATTAGGGTCGGAGGGTCACAGAAAAGCCAGCATGAACAGTTCATCTCTGAAATTAGCAAAAACTGATGAAATCTAGGTTGAGCACTAAGTTTTTTTTTCTTGGAGTGACTCTGGACAGGTGCATTAATCCCATAGCTGGAGACTGTGCAACTGATGTAGTATTTATTATGTCAAAACAAGCAAGCCCCAGCCTGAGAAACCTCCACACTGACTCAGCAACAAAGACACCTTGCACATATAGTAAAGAAATCAATGTGTGGTCATAAATACAATCTAAACATGCCTTGGGGAACACAGGCTCTCCTAACCTTTCTCTGTGAGGAATGAACACTATGCCCAGTCCTCATCAAGTTGTGCTCTTACATGGGTGCCCTTAAGGCCAGTTCCTGGCCTTGCATCTAAAACACTACTGGATATTCAGGAATGCAAAGCAAAGCTGATTGAATAGTTCACAGAGAAAATAAACCTGAAAATGAGCTACCCTGGGGGGAATAAAGAGCAGCCTGAGCATCCATCAGGGCAGAAACTCGAAAAGGTTACAGCAATTGGAATATTGTTACTTCAGTGTCTCCTATGGTTGCTGCTCCCAGGTCACCATTGCCAAAACATATTGAAATACTCCTCTGTCGCTTTGGTGAGATAAATCTATTGATCACATGCCAAAAATGAAGCCTGCTGGCAATGCTTGCAAAAAGGGATTACAGAACCTCCTGTCAGCCTTGGGAAGGCAGGCTGCTGTCGATTTCCAAGCTGGATCAGTTCCCAGCTCTTTTCTTGACTCACTTCCTGCAGGAGTAGACCTGCTTACTCCTCTCAGGTGCTTGATACTAATCAAAAATGAATTATGAAATACAATTTCCATGTATAAGCCTATGCACATTTCCCTGAAACCCATCTCAGAAAGATGTTTTTACAAGTCAGTTTGTTTGACAAACTACTTCCAAATACATGTTACACAGAGTAAAAATTAATTGGTTGCTGTTCAGCTGCCAGTTTCACAATTTGCAAAGATACACACAATTTGCACAGCCTAATTCACCACCATCTTTAGGTTCCCCAGAAAAATCTATACAAATGTTTAAATTTTAACTTAAGTCACTGCATGAAAAAACTGGTGGCAGTCTTTCTAGGTTAAGAGGGACACTTTCTTCCCACAGGTGGCATGGCCTTAAACTCATCAGGGGACTTTTTAAAAGACCTTGATAGTTCACGATGAGTAACTTTATAATGCAGTTCAACTAAAGCTGAATAATGTTCCTTCTAAACTGATGGGCTACACAGGAATTGATTGAAGAAACTGTTATATGAATGCCCAAATATTCTAATAATGAGAGTTGTCCTCTAAAACAGACAGATCAAGTATAGTTGAAGACTGACAGAGTGTTCTTCAACCAGATTCTTAACAACTTTGGTAGGTGCAAATGAAGACTTAAAGGCATTTCTTAGCATCAAGAAAAACAGTCATTCTTATGGTACTGTACTTTTAGACTGCACATTAAAATCTCCAGAAGTGTTTTGAAAAGTGCCACTCTCAGGCCCCATGTCAGGTCGATTAGATTGAGGGCAGGAGGGTTGATAGGGATAGGGCATCAATGAACATATTTTGTTTTGGCTTAGTTTGGATTTCTAAAATCCCTGGGGGGATTCTAAGAGCAGCCATGGCTGAGAATCAGCAATTTCAACAAAAAGACACAAATCAAATACTAACTCTCTCCCTAACTAATGCCACTTCTCCCCCATTTCCTGTTCTCTCCACAAGTGCCCATCAAGAGCACACTCTGGCTTCCAGCCTCAACAGGAAGCACAAACGCCCATCTCTGGGATGCCTAACAAATACAATTGTTGTTTGTAACATTATGTGTGGGATTGGGCTGCATCATTAGAATATAGGCACTCCATGCTCTAGTCTCTAGATGAAGCTCAAAGTCAGTTAGGTGCTACAGACGGAGGTAATGACCATCTCCCATCTTAACCTGCTCCAAGGTTTCTCCCAACACCATTTCCCCAGACTATGGACTGTAACCCCGTAGCTACTAAAGACTTTTAGAACTGCCTAACCCAGTAGCAAATATTCTTGCCTTAGGCCTGAGCCTAGTCATTTAACCCTTGTCCCACACCTCCTCTTGAGCAGCACTCTGATAAATGAGCTAACCTCTTTCCAAAAGTAACCGAAGAGAAGGGGAATACTAGAACAGATTTTCTACAGACCCTAATTCTCACCATACATTTCACAGGACCTGGGTTAATAGCAGGATTCTATGTATCCTTTCCCAAAGCTCCCTGGCTCACTACTCCAGTGGCTGTCCCAGGCTCATTCCTCATAACAGAACACTCCAGAGGTTAATGTCCTGATCACCCGCCCAGGTTCATGCCCAACAGTCTTCATCTGTTCCCACAGCCCTGAGAGGGATTAGCATTTGAACTACGCATCTTGCAGATGGAAGTTTATTTTGCTGTGTTATCCTTAAGTAATCTTTCCCCAGCCCTTGGCTTCTGAGTTGATATGTTCAAGAGTCTCCAGGGAGCAGGTGCTGAGCAGTCAAATGGCAGCTGTTGATCTGTTGAAATTCAGCAATTAGAGACTGCAGGAGAATGCTCTGGCACACACTTTCCACTGAGCATCCGTGAAGCCAAATATTTGAGTTTCTGTCTTGTGGTAAACACCACACACACACACACACACACACACACACACACACACACTGTTCTCATGGGCAGGTACATGTGTCCCTAAAGGAATCACATCTTTCCCCTTTTTGCCTAGCCCTTCAGTGATTTATTTCTCTCATGCAGCCCAGGCTGGTCTCAGATTCACTATGTAGCCCAGGATGACCATGAACTTCCTGACCCTTCTTCCTCCATTTCCTGAGCTCTGGGCTTGCAGGCATGCACTGCCATACCCTGTCATGCAGCAGCTGAACCCAGGGCTAGGCAGGCTCTCTACCAACTGACCTGCTTCCTTCATCCATTCAATACAGTAGCCCAGGAGCTCCTAAAAGGTGACTTGAAACTGGACTTGCACTATAAATTCAAGTGGTTTTGAAATGAACATCTTTTCTGAGCATAAAGGTCTTATTCAGGAAATATTGAAATCCTAGATACTGATCTGTGATACATATTTACCTGAAATAATAGAGACTCCAAGACTCAGGTTGACAAGACAATCACTCATTATATTTCAGCTGGGGCCTTTTAAAAAGATAAGCTGAAAATCTTCACCAACCTCAGCACCGCATTTAAATCCCACCCACGGTGTAAGCACGAAGAAAAAAAAAGGAAAGCTTGCTTCTGAATCATTTTTTCTGAGCCCAGAGAAATAGCTGTGTTTTGCTTTCAAGGGTCGGAGGAATAACTGATAAATCTACTTCTGTCTCCCCAGGCTCTTCTACTCCGAAGCCCTCCTAACATTTCACAGAAACACAAAAACCAGACAGACAGATAGCTAGATAAGAGGACTGGGTGGGAATTTAGCGCTGTGTTGGCTTAACTCTGGTGCTGGGAATTAGGTCTCATGTGGGGCTAAGGGATAGGCAGCTTCCCAGCTCAGGCCTAGCAGGGTAACATCAGATGACCACGCTGACGGTCATGCTCTGGCCATGGGGCACAATCTTTCGGGGCCAGGAGAGCAGCATCTTGCGCAGTTCCTCTCGGAAGCTGTCGTGCAGCCAAGCGTAGATGAAGGGGTTGTAGCAGGCAGAGCTCATGGCGAGCCAGTGGCAGAGGAGCTGCACCAGCCCGAATGCATAGGGGTCGATGGCACGCGGGTCCAGGTCCCGAAGCAGGTTGAAGACATGCAGCGGCAGCCAGCAGACAGCGAATACCACCACCACCACTACCAGCAGGCAGAAGGTGCGGCGGCGACGCGCTCGGTCCCAGTCGGCTTGGCTCTGGGTCACACTGCCAGGCACCACGCGGTTCCGCAGCTTCACCGACACCCGGACGTAGGACAGGAGAATGGCCAGCAGAGGGAGCAAATAGGTGCCCAACAGCAGTCCCCAGGCATAGAGCTGGCGCTGACGCTCCTGCGAACCCCAGAACTCCTCGCAGAGGCGTACGTCGTGGGGCTTGAGCTCCACATGGTAGGTGTGCACCGCGGCCGGCAGCGCCAGCACCGCGGATAGCGCCCAGATGCCCAGCACCGCGTAGGCGCTAAGCTTCAGTGAGATGCGCCGACGTAGCGGGTGCACCAGAACGACATAGCGGTCCAGGGCAATTGTGGTGAGTGTGAACACCGATACGTAGACGGTGACCGGCTGCAGGAAGAAAACCAGGTGGCACAGGCCTCCACCGAACACCCAGCCGCGAGGCTCAAAGGCATAGGCCAGCGTAAGCGGTACGCAGGCTGCGCACATGAGCACGTCGGACAAGGCCAGGTTGCCGATGAGGAAGTTGGTCACATTGTGCAGTCGGCGTACTCGCGCGATCACCAGCACAAGCAGGCAATTGCCCACCAGCCCCACGACCACCACGATACTATACAACATCACGATCAGCCCCTTCAGCTGGTGCACCAGCTGCAGGCTCTGGAAGGGTGTGACTGCTGCAGTGCGGGGAATGGTCACGGAACCGTTGCCCTCCGAGACCTCTGCGCTCTGGTTGGCTGGAGTGGAGCCGGCTGGCGGCAGCCCAGAAAACAAATCGGGGTCCCCAGGGGTTCCAGTGGGCAGTGAGGTCATGGCCACCTGTCCAAAGGTAATTAAAGTTGTCACTTTCCATCTTCCATCAGCTCCTCATATACCCTCCCCCATCACCCAACTCCTCTCTTTGGAGTAACTAGCCCCAGAATATCAAACACAATAAATGCTGTCCTTCCAGCTCTATAAAATAAACTTAGCACAGGTGCTTTAAACAGCTCCTATTCGTGGATAGCTCTCGCGGTCTGGGAAGGCAGACTTGGGAGCTGGTCCTACCTGCGAGCAGGCTTGGCTGGAGCGAAAGGGCTCTCAAAGGCAGGTGCAGGCTGCCTGCTGTCCCTTGGGGATGTGTTGGGGGTCGGGGGGTCCTCAGCCCAGATGGCCACTCGTGCTGCTTTCTTCTAATAACGAATCCAGGAGTTCCTAGTGGGCCAGCAGCTTTTGAAGGGTCTGGGAGCTCCTCCCACTCCAGCTCTCCCTTCTATGGAATATGGGGGTGGAGCATGCTGCTTAGAGAAGGGGAGCAGAGTGTGTAGTAGGGATGGAGCCAGAAAGGGGGCGGGGCCAGGAACCTGGGCCCCAAGCTCCAGGGGTGATCTCCACTGCGGAAGTGTGCAGTGCCCCCGGAGAAGCTGTTCCGGAGGGGGTGTGTCCCAGGGAAGGAGCGGAAAGAGCCAAGTTGTGAGGACCACCAGGTGCAGTCTCAAGAGGCAACGGGTCGGAGAGAAATATGGGGATAGAAAATTTTAGATACACTAGGGAGTGAAAGAAAGAACAGACAGGCCAGCTCCAGATCCTGCAGAGCTTCAACTGCAGCTGACAATCTCTAGAGTTGGTTGGGGTTCTAGTAGATCTTTGCTATGCTGTATCTGGCGCTGGTCAGGAATCTTATGGCTCTGACTGAGCAATAGACCATTTGAGCGTTTTTGTTGTTGTTGTTTGTTTGTTTGTTTTTGTGCGCGCTGTGGTCCCAGGTCCCTCTCAGACAAAGGAAAATTCAGCACCACGGGCAGTTCCCCGGGCTCCGCAGAGTGGTGTGGGGGTACTGCGCAAGGGGGCGCGCGACAGTCGAAATTACAGCAGTTCTGTGGGTCTGAGGTTTGCTACCTGGGCTCAGAGAAGTGCAGGGTAGAGGTTGAAGGGTTGGTGACTTTGGCTCCAGTGTGGATAAGCTCCATCAGGGACTGAGCCATCTTTACCTCCCTAGCTCAGAAAAAGCAGCATCAGGACCAGTTTGTGCTTCACAGACTCACCCCGAGATCTGAATCCTGCCACTTCTCACTCACTCCTCTTTCTCAGCTACAGCAACTGCAAGACGCCAGCTGTCTTCACAGAGAATCGTTGAGTTCCTGACCTGCTATCTCTCCTTTTCCTCCTTGAATAAAAGCCCTCAGGCCTCCCTGTCTCGGTTAAGCTAGAATAACAAAAATGACATTTGAAACGCTCAGGTTTCACAAAATCTCTAGTAGCATTAAGTTGTCATTGAAACATAAATCAAGCTGCACGGTGACAGGTCTGTCAGGAGAGGGGCTTTGTAGCCATCCTGTTCAGAAGCTTGCATGCCAGGGCTTCAGGAAGAGACTGAGTTCCATGGTCTGGTCCCCTCTCTGGCAAGGTCCTGCTTTGGTCTCCGGGACTTCAGATATCCCAGCTCCACAGGAAGCAGTAACAGGTTAGTCCACCCTTGAAATTCCAGCGAGTCACTCACACAAGAAGAAAAGCCACCTACAATGGAAAAGCTACCTGTTTGTGTGCCTGTCTCCACCCTACACCCACACTCCCTGAGGCATAATCCTTGTAGGAAAAAAAAAGAAACAGTATAAAACTCCTGGTGCTAAGAAGTTCACATGTATATTGGGGAACTTTCCAGCAAAGAAGATATTTTACCACTTGCCAAAAAAAATCTGGTAAAGGTTCTGGGTAACTAGAAATATTGACAAAGCTAATAAGCAGCAGGGCTGGAATTTCAATGCTGAACTGCTTTATTCCAGGGAAAAACCTGTGTGTGTGTGTGTGTGTGTGTGTGTGTGTGTGTGTGTGTGTGTGTAGTCCAGGGGTTAGAATAGGATGTCACCCTCTATCTCACTTTCCATTTTAACTTTTTGAGAAAAAGTCAGGTCTCTTACTGAGCCTGGAGCTCTCCACTCCAGCAAGGTGGGTTGACCAGCAAGCACCCAAGATTTACTTGTCTCTTTCTCCACTCCCAAAGCTGGGGTTATAAACATGTGACACCATGCCTTGTTTTTCATATGAGTGCTGGGGATTCAAACTCAGGTCCTTACGCTGTGCAGCTAATTCGTGCTTATGTGCTGGAGTTGTCCCAGATACACAGGAAACATTACAGAACGAAAGCAATTATCCAAATGAGGTCTAGGTCCAGGCAGTCACAGGGCAGATAACTCTCTTGAATATGAGTTCCAGGTGTGTTCCAAGGTCCAAATATTCCCTTGTCCCACAGGTTGAACCCCTTACCACCCCTAGAAGGCTCTGAAACAGAGCAGAAATAACTACCTTGGGCAGATAACAGCCTATGGCATATTTATGTATCTATTCATTGTGGTGTGTGTGTGTGTGTGTATGTGCGTGTAGCCATGGTGCATATGTAGAGATCAGAGAAGAACTCATAAGAGTCATTCCCCCTTTCTTTATGTGATTACATGGATAAATCTGAGATTATTTGGTTTGGAGGCAAGTATCTTTATACACTGAGCCATCTTGCTGTCCCCTTATCTGTGTTTAATAAAACAAAAGAATGAAATGTGTTTGTTTCCCGCTATGTCATTAAAATCATCTAAAAGGAAAGGGGATTGTCTAGACAGAAAGCACTGAATATGGCCCTTCTTGCAACTACTGCATTGTGTGGTTATGGGGGAAGGGCCTAGAGTTACTACTGAGCTCTCCAAGTGGGAGGGCTGGTGGGGATTGGCAGTTGGTAGCTTGTTTTCTCTAGCCCTGGCCAACGTCCAGGGCCCCATGGATTCTCCACCTCCTGCCAGGCTGCAGTAGTTTATTCTCACACATGAGCAAGTCAGAATAACCCACTCTGCTTGTTATCAATTCAATTTCCCAGGCTGCACCTTTGGTAGCTCTGACTAAATGAGTCTGTCTTGTATTACAGCCATTCATATTTGTAACAAGCCTCAGTCAGTGTTGACTCTGTTGAAAGTGGCCCATGGCCTATACCAGGGAAACAAAACAAAACAACAACAAAAACCAATAGTTTCTGGCTATTTTCTCTTTCTTGAGAGATGCTGCTTCATAATCTCCATAAGTATGAAGGACAGGCTGTTTCCCTAGTGACAAAGACCCCTTAACAGGACAAAACACTGGGAAGATGAACTCCCCTGAACAGTCAGTCGGATGTCCCAGAATAGTGGGTGAATGCACAAGAGAGAAAGAGAGAGAGAGAGAGAGAGAGAGAGAGAGAGAGAGAGAGAGAGAACATGTCTGATGAAGTTAAAATGGAAGAAAATAAAAGAAACAAACAGAAAGAGTCTTTTTATCCCTGTTATAACACCTGATTGAAGTTGACTGTGTCTAGATAATAGTGAGGCAGATTTAGTGAGATGTTTGTTGGCCTCATAACTGTTTTGTGGGGGAGATACACTAATGGAAAGCTAATCTTCTCTGGGTCAAGGTCTCCATCTGAATGCGTCTACAAATCACTCTTCACAACCAGATGTCATAAAGCAGGATACCAGATGGGCTAAAACACAGGAGGGATGGAATTGAAATGAGAAAGCGGATTGGCTAGTCTATGCTGTTGGAGAAGAATGTAGTCTAAATGGCCTTCAAGTGTTTTGTTCTGATCTGCATGTTTATTTACATGACCAGGGGTCCACATGTATCGTCTACTCCTAATAAACCAAGGTAAAAGCGTTTGCTGTTCCTGCTGCTGATGGCTGCATACCCATAAGGGCCCCGCTGAAAGCTAAAATCAAGTTCCTGAGTGGTAGCCTTCTGTCTTTGCCACCATGCTCTCCCCCAACCATGATGGACTAGACTCTCAAACTGAGAGCAGAAATAAACTCTTCCTTCCTTGGTCTGTCAGGTGTTTTGTCAGAGCAATGACAAAAATAACTAGCAAAGGTTCCAAAAATGCCCCCACTAGCATGACAGGACTTTTATTTAGTTCAGTGAGTCAGAGAAGCACAGTCTGTATGCCTTGAGTTTTTGTAATGACTTGGGGAAGTAGGGAAGCACGCTGCCATTGAACAAGGCAGCATTATTTGAGGGTGCTGAAGCTCCACACTCTTCCCTGCATTCTCTTTTCTTCTGGTGAGTGTTTACATTTGCCCAGAACTTCCACAGTCACCAAAGTTTGCCATTTTTGTTCCTAGAACATAGCCAGTCAGGGCCTCATGAGGCTCCTCTCCTGGGTAGGGCAAAATCTCCAAGGATGAATGTCGTTTCTCCTATCAGGACCTGGGTATACTGCACATGGTGTGTGTGTGTGTGTGTGTGCGTGCTACTTGCCACTTTAGGATCAAGAGAGGAACCTCTGTGTTAATGTACTTTTAAGTTCAAATGCCCATGGGAGAGTGTTGGGAGAATTTTCTCCCTGCAGGAGGCTAAACACCACTTATCCCCCTCCCTCCTCACAAGGTCCCAATGACAAACAGAAGTTCACTTCCATGAAGCTCACCGTGAAGAAACAATTTTATTAGAATTACTTACAAGGTATGGGCAGGAAGTTACTGGCCTCTTTAGGTGAGCCGAAAGAAGCCATGCTGGGAAGTATAAACCCAGCATGGATGACTTTGTCACTTACCCTACTCTTTCCCCATACTATATACTCCCTCCCCTCCCTTAGCCCCCAGGCCATGTAAAATCAAAACACAATTTCAAACAACTGGGTGGAAGGAATGGCTGTTTAATCAGGTGAGAGTCCCACAACCCTCTTTGTCAATTCTTCTGTGAGAGAATGTCATAGGCCAACAAGCCAAGCTTTGATGATTTTTAGTAAGCAGGCACTGCTGAAATTATGAAGATGACAGTGTACCTTGGAGGATGGTCGTGTACAACTGAGATTTCATGTAAACCCACAAATTCTTGGATGATTCAGCATCTAAGAGCAAAATGTTGTTCACTGGACCTCTGGATCATTCAGGCCAAGCTAGGGATCTCCAGCTAAACCCTTGTGTGGCAAGCTGTGGGTAGAAGGGGTGCAGAGAGTTTGAGGGGAGATGTTCAGGTTCTGAACTGACACATCAGGACTGATGGGTGTGGATCTCCCATCATGGTGACTGTGCCTCAGGTCCTGCAGGATAAGCCCTCCCCAACTCGAGATCTCTGCCTTGATCTCTCCGTGAGCCACATCTCATTTTGCCTACCTATGCATTATTACTCAGACAAATAAGTCCAGTCTGGTGCTATTTCTAGTATGGGAAGACCCTATCATACCTGGTTCATGGTTATAATAGTTACATCCCCCGGAATCAATCTCTCTCTCTCT